TAATGTGATCCTTTATTGACAACGTTTCACCCACACAGTGGGCTTTTTCAAGTCACACACGGATCTACCTGGGGTTGGAAGGTACGAAGGTATTCTCGTACCTTCCAACCCCAGGTAGATCCGTGTTTGACTTGAAAAAGCCCACTGTGTGGGTGAAACGTTGTCAATAAAGGATCACATTATACTGCATTTGTGTTTATATTTCCATTGTGTCGGTATTTTATACCATTTATTTCCATAATCAGTACTTCACTAGTGGTACCAGTCAGTGGTTCACTAGTGGTACAAGTCAGTGGTTCTATCCACTGAAGAGGGGCGAAGACAAGCACACGAACTGCCGAACAAGCTTTCTACACAGGCAACGTTTCGCTCGGTGTATACAGAGGTTCATCATATCATGACCTGACTCATTACCACCGGAAGACCATGAAACAGCAAGAAAATACAGGAAGCAGGAGAAAAAACATGAGAAATGTCTACTCATGGCAGTAATTTGGCTGAGGGAATATAGTGTGGGTGTGGTACAATATAGTGTGGATGTGGTACAATATAGTGGATGTGGTACAATATAGTGTGGATGTGGTACAATATAGTGTGGATGTGGTACAAAATAGTGTGGGTGTGGTACAATATAGTGTGGGTGTGGTACAATATAGTGGATGTGGTACAATATAGTGTGGATGTGGTACAATATAGTGTGGATGTGGTACAATATAGTGTGGATGTGGTACAATATAGTGTGGATGTGGTACAATATAGTGTGGATGTGGTACAATATAGTGTGGGTGTGGTACAATATAGTGTGGGTGTGGTACAATATAGTGTGGATGTGGTACAATATAATGGATGTGGTACAATATAGTGTGGATGTGGTACAATATAGTGTGGATGTGGTACAATATAGTGGATGTGGTACAATATAGTGTGGGTGTGGTACAATATAGTGTGGATGTGGTACAATATAGTGTGGATGTGGCACAATATAGTGTGGGTGTGGTACAATATAGTGTGGGTGTGGTACAATATAGTGTGGATGTGGTGCAATATAGTGGATGTGGTACAATATAGTGTGGATGTGGTACAATATAGTGGATGTGGTACAATACAGTGTGGGTGTGGTACAATATAGTGTGGATGTCGTACAATATAGTGTGGGTGTGGTACAATATAGTGTGGATGTGGTACAATATAGTGTGGGTGTGGTACAATATAGTGTGGATGTGGTACAATATAATCAGTACTTCACTAGTGGTACCAGTCAGTGGTTCACTAGTGGTACAAGTCAGTGGTTCTATCCACTGAAGAGGGGCGAAGACAATCACACGAACTGCCGAACAAGCTTTCTACACAGGCAACGTTTCGCTCGGTGTATACAGAGGTTCATCATATCTTGACCTGACTCATTACCACCGGAAGACCATGAAACGGCAAGAAAATACAGGAAGCAGGAGAAAAAACATGAGAAATGTCTACTCATGGCAGTAATTTGGCTGAGGGAATAAGAGTGAAGGAAGAAGTAGTGTGAGGGAGGACCAATAAAAGCATACGAGTGTGGCATGCTAAAAGTATATTACATTTTATACGGAGTATGTCACACTTTCTATATAGGCTGCTTCCAAACCAGCAAACTGGGTGCTATGGGTTTAACGATCAATAGGGTACCCGTCGTTAAACCAGTACCTTGGTTCATTGGCCAATCACAGGCAAGCCCTCCAAAGCTGAAGCAACGTGGTTCACTTGTGCCAGACTTGCCTGAGCTGCTGGTTGAGCACGGTGCACTCTCTCTGGCTTCTGCTTCTGCCATCTTTTGTCACCGTGGTGTACACTTATTATTCCACCTCTGTACACAGTGTACGTAAGTATACATATTTGTAAATATTTAGTTAATTATATCTGGTGAAGGAAAATACAAATCGTATACCATTGCTGAGTTCTGCTTGCTCCACTATTGAGTTCATTAGAACAGTCGCAGGCCAACTAAACCTGTGTCTTAATAATGAGGGAGAAATTGAAAGTATATGAATGAAAGTGAGTGGACCCGGGCTTTGATGTAGTGGACAGTCTTAAAATTAGTGGAAACATCTACCTAGTTGGGACGATTGTATCGGCTTCATACCCTTAAAGTCGTAGAATTTTTGAGGTTGCATGTCCCTTGGGCTGGAGAAGTTTCAGTTCCATAGTCAGGAACTATCTGAAGATCAAGCGACAGTGCGGAGACTTAAATACTGTCGAAGGAGAGGTGCAGGGTAAGTAGTAGTGTAAGTAGAATACTATTTACTACTATACTACCCTGCACCCTCCTTCCGACAGATATTAAGTCTCCGACTGTCGCTTGATCTTCAGATAGTTCCTACTATGGAAACTGAACTTACCAGGCCGATGGACTGACAACCTCAAATTCTACTGACTTTAAGGGTGATGGACTGATTACATCGTCTTCACATCTCTACTGTTCCTGCCTACTTTCTGTATTCGACTGAAGAAGCCTACTGTGTAGGCGAAACGTTTCGGAATAAAGTTATCTAACTGTTGCATATGTGTCTTACCTAACAACCTGTCGGTATTGTATACCATTTTGATGTTCTACCTAGTTGGGTTACTGAGGCTAGGACTTTGGGTGGTTTCAAATTTAGGTTGGATAAATATATGAGTGAGAGGGGTTGGATTTGAGTGGGACTTGCAAATAAGTGGATAGTTATCAGAGCTTATTTCTAGGTTAGCATTGAAAATTGGGTTGGGCAAATGTTTTGTTAGTGGGATGGATTGTAAAGGACCTGCCTAGTATGGGCCAACAGGCCTGCTGCAGTGATCCTCCTTATGTTCTTATGTTCTTAAAGTCGCCCAGTGTAAAGTCAGATCTTCTCTAAATGGCAGTCAGCTGACGAACCGAGAATCAGCTGACGGACTACAGAGTTAACTAAGTAACGCAAGACAGAACACACAGAAAGCAGCAACAGCAGCGCTGACATCCTCAGCCTTGAAAAATATGAAGCCACTGTTCATTTCCTAAA